AAAAGCTCAGAGAAAGACACGGCCCCCATGGACTAGCTTCATGATCTCTAAAAAGCAGCGACTTTCGGGCCAGGTGGGGGTTGCTGCTCTCTCCTTGTTCAGTTAGTCAGGCTTCTCTCTTCTCCTCTGGGTTCTAGGATGCTGATGTCACTTGGCATCACCGCCTTTCATTTTGGGAGCAATTGCAAATCATTAGTAAAGGCTCATCACCTTTAAGAAGCAAAACCAGCAAGAAAATTCACTGTGTCCTGATTTTCTAGACAGCATCCTCTAAGATGGCACCCAGGTGTTTAATAATTTAGCCTTTGGGGCCAAGTTCTCGTTAGAATAGATCAAAAACATGAATAATTCAGGCATTTGTGAATCATACTACTCAGCTGTGCTGACACTGGCCAAAAGTGCCTTAAGCACTTTCAAAGAGGCTCAAGGCTACTAGATCAAGTTACTGGGTCATGATGACACCAAATTTGGTTAATGAGAATCCCAGGTCAAATCCAATGGTGTCAAAATACAGCTGCAGCCCGCTACATCTTGCAGGTCCTTTAGGTCTGAAATTCTGACTCATAGTAACCCTACAGGACAGAGTAAAACTGCCCCATAGGATTTCTAAGGCTGTAAATCCTTACAGAAGCAGACAGCCACATCTTTCTCCCACAGAGTGGCTGGTGTGTTCAAACTGCTGACCTTTCAGTTAGCAGCTGAGTGCTTAACTACTGTGCCACCAGGGCTACTCTGAAATGCCTCAAATAAGTAAAAATTTCTGCCAGGAAATCATACTCTACACTCCCAGTCCTTTCTCTCTTTCTCTCACTGTCTCTCTCTCTCTGTCTCTCTGTCTCTCTGTCTCTCTCTCTCTCTCTCTCTCTCGTTTCCCCAGACCACTCTTTCATTTCTATCCTCTCTCCTCAAAGCCCCCTCCATCCTCACTCCCGGCAGATGCCCTTGTTTGCTCCTTAGGTGAGAAAAAAGCAATAATCAGAAGAGAACTTCTCCAGGGTCCGCAGACCACATCTGCCCACTACCAACATCTGTACCCAAATACTCTGCCTCCTGCCTTTATATAAATGAATATCCACATTCCGTCTCCAGCCACCCCCCATGTGTCCCATCCCCTTGGACTTATTTCTGGGCATCAATTGCTCTCCCTTCCTTCTCCTATATCATCAAATGTTCACTCCCTAGGAGATATCTGTCATCAGCCTACAAACATGCTTTTATTTATCCTATCGTAAAAAATAATTATCAGTATGGATGGCAAATAAGCATTTGAAAAGATGCTCAACAACATTAGTCATTAGGGAAATGCAAATTAAAACTACAATGAGATACTACTACACACCAATTAAAATGTTTCAAATTAAAAGACTGACCAAGAAACAGCCTGAATGTCCATCAGCAAATGAATGGGTCAACAAAATGTGGTTCATACATACAACGGAATACTACTCAGCCAGAAGGAGAAATGACGTCCTGATACACGCTACAAGGATAAACCTTGAAAACATTATGCTGTGTGGAGTGAGGCACCCTGAATTTGGACTTCTAGTCTACTAGACTGTGAGAGAATAAACTTGTGTTAGTTGAAGCCACCCGCTTGTGGTATTTCTGTTATAGCAGCACTAGATGACTAAGACAACAGGTATGTACATGTGTCAAAACTTATCAAATTGTACACTTTAAATGTATGCAATTTATTGTATGTCATGTATACCTCAATGAGGTTGTCAAGAAATTATCTTGACCTCACTTCCCTATCAGCTACCACCTTTTTTCTCTGCACCTCTGGGCAACAAAACTTCTTGAAAAAATTGTTGATACGTTCTGCCTCCAATTCCGCTCCTACTTTTTGCTTAAGCCGACACCAGTTAGGCTTCTGTCTCTACTCTTTCACCTAAACTGCTCGTCAAGACCAAGTGACCGCCATGTTTCTAAATCCAGTGGCTTACTTTCAGCTTCCTTGGCTATCGACAGCTGGCCCTTCCCTCCCTCTTTCTTCACTGGGCTCCCAGGGACCCACACTCTTGTTTCCTTCCTCACTTGTTCTTCCTTCTGTCTCCTTTGTAGATTCTTCTCTAGGGCTAAGTCTTCTCTCCTCTCTTCCTCTCTATCCACACACACTCCCTTTATGATCCTATTCAGTGGCAGAGGTTTAAATTCTATACTCCTTATTTCATTAATTCTAGAACACACATTTTTTTCCCCACATGTGAACATCTCTGAAATTGGCATCCATTTTACAATCAATAATATATCGTTATTTAATTTGAATTTTTAAAAATTTCTTAGTGGTACGTAAAATAATTCTGTGCTTTACATCTTAGATTTGATTATACACACACATATATGCCAATGACTTCCAAATTTACGTCTCCAACTCAGATCTCTCCCCTCAACTCCAGATTCATAGTTCCCTAACTGCTTACTCAAATCTCTACTTGGATGTTTTTATGGACTGAATTGTGTTCCCCCACCCCCCTACCCCCCAAATATGTGTTAAAATCCTAACCCCTGTACCTGTAAATTGACGCTGTTTGGAAATAGAAGTTTTCTTTGTAATGTTAATGAGGCCATACCAGAATAGGATGGATCCTAAATCTAATCACTTCTGAGTTACAATAAGAGCAGAATAGACGCAGAGACACACACAGGAGGAAGACAGATGTCAAGGAATGCCAAGGAATTTCCAGGGCTACTGACAAGGAAGGACCTCCTCCTAGAGCCACATTCTAAACTCAGACTTCTAGCCTACTGGACTGTGAGAAAATAAATTTCTGTCCTTTAAAGCCACCCACTTGTGGTACAGGTAGTCCCTGACTTACAACGTATTCGAGTTACAATGAACTGCACTTGCTACTGCCTGTTATTTGTTTTTTGTACATTTTATCATTAGTAATAGATACTAAATACGATGTTGCAGCATGTAATTTGCTGATGTTATCAATCTTAGATGTTTCCTCGCAGATGTTCAATGGTATGATTTATAAAGACACTGATAATAAAAGGCAATAATAATGAAAACTAAAAAAAAAAAATGAGGTATTCGAC